CAGTCAGGATTCCTGGTTTCCCTGGTAACGGGAAGCACGTCAGCAGGCCGGGCACTCCCAGCCGGTCCTGGTGCTGCGGTTGCCGAGGAGACGCTGCAGCCTAGCTGGGCCCCGGCAGGTGAGGGGGGTTGGTGCTGGGGAGCCCAAAGCCCAGCCTCAAGCTTGCTGGGGCCCAGCCCTCAAGGTCCACTCCTGGGCTCAGACTGCTCCACAGGTTCTGGGCAGCGGAGGGATCCCTGGAGCCTTGAGGCCACACCCTGTTTGTGCTGAGAGCTCTAGGTTTCACAGGGCCCCAGGTGGCTGGAGTATTCCTGAGGGGCTGAGCCTCCTGATGTCCTTAAAGCTGGGCTTGACTGACGCTGAGGTGACTGCTGAGGGGTGGGATGGAGATTCAGGATTGGGGGAGGGGCACTGGGATTAGAAAGAAGAGATGTGAGCAGGAAGGGCTGGGGTCTCATGAGGCCCCCATCCCCAACCTAAGGAGGTCCCCTTCTGTGGTGGTCCTGGCCCCTCCCAGTGAGCTCCAGGCGGGGGAGGCTCTTGCCTGGCAGGCGCTCTGCCCTGGTGAGAAGGGGGCGGGATGAGCTTTTCTCTGCAGCCCAGCACCAGGCTGTGAGCCCAGCTGGCTGGGCTGGAGGGGCTGTGAGGAGGGCGGGTGGCGGCAGGAGGGGCTGGGAACGAGCGCCATGTTCTCCCAGGACTTTTTCCTGGCCATCATCCTGCAGGACAGCAGCCCAGGTGAGGGGCCACATGGGGTGGGCACAATGTGGGGCGGGGCCGGCAGGGAGAGCAAAGGCAGAGGAGGTGTGAGCCCAGCTACAGGGCCAGAGTGGCTCTGCATGGGGAGGAGGGGTGCGTGTCACAGGTGTGCAGTGCATGTGCATGTACACCAAATGTTTGTTGCCTGCATCTGTGTGTGGCCAAGGTCAGGGGTGTGTCTGTCATGTTGGCACACATGTGGCAGAGGTTGACATATGTTGTGTGTCTGAATGTACCTTCGCTATCTGTGTTACCCACACGTGTTGGGTGTCATTGTGGGTGTGGTCTCTGTACACGTATGTGGAGGGGCTGCTTTGTATAGCTGTGTATGTGCTCACCTCTGGGTATCGTGTCTGCATTAGTGTATGGCTGGAGTTGGTGTGTTTCCCCGGCTCATACATGTGCACCTGTATGTGACACTTGCCATCTGTGCAGGTATTTTCTGAGTGTACACACCCTATGTTTGCAGTGGCTGCACAGGTGTGTACTAGGGCTGTACATGTTGTGTGTCTGAGGGCATGTGTGTGTCTGCCTGGAATATGGATATGTATGACAGGAGGTCAGTTGGGGCCATCCAACCTCCTTCCTTCTCTCTGGCTTCCTCCTTCCCTCTGTGCGGCCACATTAGCCAGGAGCCAGGCTCAGGAGGCAACCTGAGCCATGTCGCATGCTGTGGCCCCATGCTGTGACTCCAGACTGCAGGCTATAGAAGGAAGCAGGGACCTTGTGCTGGAGCCCTTCCCACACCCCTTCTTAACCATAGAATCTGAGGGTGGACACTGGGCATAAGCACCCATTCTCTGCTTGTTGGGTAGGGAGACCCTCACAGAGTCCCCCACCTGGCAGATTCCTTCTGGAACCCTAACGCCTTCGAGACGGATTCCGACCTGCCAGCTGGATGGATGAGGGTCCAGGACACCTCAGGAACCTACTACTGGCACATCCCAACGGGCACCACCCAGTGGGAGCCCCCAGGCCGGGCCTCCCCCTCACAGGGGAGCAGCCCCCGAGAGGAGTCCCAGGTGAGGCATATAAGCCTGCTGTTTTTAGACCAGTCGGGGAGGAGTGGTGCTGCTGGAGCCAGATGAGCCACCTGTCCATTGCTCCCATCCCTCCTCCTAGCTCACCTGGACAGGCTTTGCCCATGGAGAAGGCTTTGAGGATGGAGAATTTTGGAAGGTGAGTGAGGGGGAGGCTACCCCTCACAGTGGGGAAGCTGGAAGAGGGTATCATTTTGGTCCTGATTCCTCTCCTCACTTCCCAAGGATGAACCCAGTGAGGAGGCCCCAATGGATCTGGGGTTGAAGGACCCTGAGGTGGGGACATTGCCCTTCCCGGCTCAGAGCCTCAGGTGAGTGGGAAGGTGAGACACAGTGGGATGGATCTAGCTGGAAGGGGTCTTGGGACAACTCTCTGTTTAGGGGCCTGTGCCAAGTGTTAACCTCTGCCTCTAGCCCAGAGCCTTTGCCCCAGGAGGAGGAGAAGCTGCCCCCACGGAGTGCCAGCCCAGGGATCAAGGTTTGCTCAAGACCAATGCCCATTCCCCAGGGGCCCACTGGTGTGCAGGAGAGCCTCCCTGTCATGTTCCAGGAAGCATCTTGGCCTCAGTACAGCTCCCCAGGTCCTGAGTTAGGAGGTCTTCTAGGCTCAGCATAGACCCTTGGGTCTGAGCCAGATGCCCCTCAGCTTCTAACTCAGCTAGCCCTGTGGCCTGGCAGGCCGCCCTTCCAGGCTGGCTCACGTGCTCCCTTTTACTAGCAGGGGTCTCCTCTGAGACGATCTCTCTTCCCACCAATTATATCCTGTTTGGGAGCTTCTCAGTTTAAGCTCAGAACCCTCTCCCACCTGCCATATTCTGAACCAGGAGCTCCTCTGGTCTCTGCAAAACCCCCTGTGTGCTGTGCAGGCAACTCTCATGTTTTAGCTGAGAACTTCTCCCTCCCGTCCTCCACCCCCTGTGTCTGGCAGTGTTTCGCCGTGTGCTCCCTAGGCTGGGTGGAGATGACTGAGGAGGAGCTGGCCCCTGGACGCAGCAGCGTGGCAGTCAACAACTGCATCCGTCAGCTCTCCTACCACAAAAACAACCTGCACGACCCCATGGCCGGGGGTTGGGGGGAGGTGAGAGCCTGAGCTGGCTGGTGTGGTACAGAGGAGAAGGGAAGGGAGCTGTGAGAGATGGCTCAGCTGAGCTACCCATCTGGGGGCTGGGGAAGGGAAGTGTTGACCCTCCCTAAGTACATCCCTGTGAGATGGGCGGTGACCCCAAGTTGAGGCCTGGGAGATGGTTTCTAACTGTCACAGGGATAATAAAAGGAGTCACACATAAGGAACAACAGGTATGGCCCCTATGAGAGTGCTGCCTGCTGGGTCGGTAGGTGAGTCAACACCCAAGGGCCACAACTGTGGCTGACCTCCCTGGAGCTGGAGGCAGGGGGATCAGCCACCTTCCCAGCTGGGACACCACTGAGTGCCTGCTTCCTGGGCCTGCAGGGAAAGGATCTGCTGCTACAGCTGGAGGACGAGACACTAAAGCTGGTGGAGCCACAGAGTCAGGCCCTGCTGCATGCCCAGCCCATCGTCAGCATTCGCGTGTGGGGCGTCGGGAGGGACAGTGGAAGGTGGGAGCAGGGCCTGGGATCCTAGGGTGGGGGCTCATCCAGCAGTCAGATCGGGGCCCTCCTCCCTAACTCTGTTCTTTGCCTCTCTTGTGCTGCCGGACCCAGAGAGAGGTACTATGCCTGAGTTACGGTGACCGTTCTTCCCATACCGGGTCCCGATGCCTCCAAGCACCCACATCCTCTATTCCTGCCCACCGTGCTCACCCCATTATCTCCACCTTGGCATGCCTGCCTGTCTCCCCTCCAGCCAGAAGGCAGCACCTGGGGACACTGTCCTGAGAGCAGAAGCCCTGGAGGAGCTGTGATGGCTAGGGAGGGTGTGGGTGGGGTGGGGGCGAGGCTTAGCACTCAGTGGCAGTGGGAGACACTGAGGAGCCCCTCCCCCAACAGGGACTTTGCCTACGTAGCCCGTGATAAGCTGACCCAGATGCTCAAGTGCCACGTGTTCCGCTGTGAGGCGCCTGCCAAGAACATCGCCACCAGCCTGCATGAGATCTGCTCTAAGGCACGGCCCCCTCTGCTCCCTGGACTAGCTGCCCAGTTTGCTCGACAAGGATGTGGGTGGGGCAGAATGGGGCCAGGGGCTCTGGGGCAGCGAAGCCCTAACGGACCTCCCTCGTTTCTCTGCTCCACACCTCCCTTCCTCAGATCATGGCCGAACGACGCAGTGCCCGCTGCTTGGTGAATGGACTCTCCCTGGACCACTCAAAACTTGTAGATGTCCCTTTCCAAGGTCAGTGTCACAACCCCAGCAGGTCCAGCTCAGCTTTGTTGGCAAAGGTAGCATGATGGCCCAGGAAGAGGCACTAGCTACTGTAGAAACATGATAGGAGGATGGACACATGGGGACTAAATTCTTTGTATCAAATAAGCAGAGGGTCTTCAGTGAAAGGGAGGCAGGGGGAAGGAGTGGAGGTGGGGCAGGGCTGGGTACATGTCCCACTTATGCCGTGGTGGTGGGTACTGGGAGTGAGCAAGATCTGCTACCATGACTGATCTTCCCATTCTTTCCCACAGTGGAATTCCCAGCGCCTAAGAATGAGTTGGTACAAAAGTTCCAAGTCTATTACCTGGGGAATGTGCCTGTTGCTAAACCTGTTGGTATGTGTGTCCCTCTTCACCCAGGGACCATGACCTTTATCCCAGACCTCTGCCCCACTATCTGCCTCCAATGCATTTTTTACCAGACCTTTCTCCTGCTTGACATTACCCTGCCCTTCAAAATGCATCCCGCCTCCTGTACCTCGGTCCCAGCTGCTCTCTCTTCTACCTGTACCAGCAGTTGGCATGCTTTCACTGAGTGTGAACCAGTAGACCAGGCACACAGGGAGACCCACTCTTTAATCTCATGAGAGAAGCTTTGATTGGGTTGGGAGGCAGGTCTTAGATGGCTGGGAACACCAGGCAGCAGCTGGGAACTGGGTTTGGTATTGCAGCACCGTGTTCACTTAGCAAATACCTATGAGGTCTACTGTGTGCTAGGTCCTGGGAGAACAATGGCCACAGTCCTGCTTACATGGAGGTTATAGTAGAAAGAGTGGGAATTAATCAAATGGGCACACAAATAAATGTATAATTACAAATTGAGTCATTGAAAGAAAGTAATAAGGTGCTTTGAAACTATTTAACAGAGGAACATCATTTAGTTTAAGGAGTCAGAACTAAGACATTCTTGAGGAAGTGACATTGAATTGAGATGAAAAATGAGTAGGAACTAAAGTGGTAAAGTGGGAGGGAGATAGGAGTACAGTAGGGAAGGATCTTTCCAGGCAGAGTGAATGGTGTGTGTGAGGAGGGTGGAAGGCACTTTGGAACTTCAAAGGCGTTAAGAGAAGGCCAGGCAGGCCAGATGTGCTGGGAGCCGGGCAGCACTTAGACCCCAGGGACCTCATAGGCTATGTTAACAAATCTGTTTTTCATCCTAAGAGCCTCACGGAGTTACTGAAGAGTTTGCAGAGAGCACTTGTGTAATCAGACAGGAATTTTGTACAGCTCACTTTGCTGTATCCTGGAGAAAGGTGGTCAGTGGGTGGAGGTAGGTGTGAGGAGCTCAGTTAGAAGGATCTTGTAGCAGTTGTAGCCATTAATGAGTATCTTGGACCGTGGTGCAGCTGAAGAGGAGCATGTAGATTCAAGAGTTATTGAGACAATTAAAATCCACAGGCCTTGGTGATTGATTGACTGTGGGATGAGGGACAGAGAGGCATTAAAGCTGCCTCCTGGTTCCTGGCTTTTGGAACGAACCAGATAGTGGGGCTGTTCTCTAAAGGTAGCAGAGTCTTGAAGAGGCCAGTATGGAGACTGGAGCTCAGTTTTGGACATGCCATGTCTGAGGCAAACTACTTTGGCAGTTGGATTCACAGAGGAGAGGTTTGGACTGGAGATACAAATGTGGGAAGCACAGGGTCATAGAGGTCATCAAAACCATGGGTGTGGAGAAGCATGACCCACCAAATGGGCAGCTACAGGGAGAAGGGGAGAGAAGCAAGGCCCCCCTCCCTTTGCCCTCCTCCCTCTCACCCTCAGCTGCTAAACCCTGTCACCTCCCAGTTATCACACCTACTCCCAAATCCACCTGGCACCTTACATAGCGTCTCACTATGCTAAGGCAACCGTATGCAGCCCTTGACTGCCTCTCCCCCTCGCTGCCCATCAGCTCTGTGGGTCTGCTTTGTTGAAGCTGCAGCTTTCACACCACTAGTCCCTAAACTCACTTGCTGCTTGATCCTGTGCTCCCTTTTTAACATCCAGGAGTTTACCATTGGCCTCTCCTGAGGCTGCAGCAGTCACTCATTAATCACCCACTGACTCAACAGGACTAGGGAGTGCCTCATTTGTGCCTGGCACTATTTTAGGTTTTTGGTGTATATTAATGAACAAAGCCAACAAAGATCGCTGTCTTCAAGTAGCTGACATTCTAGCCAGGATAGACAATAAAATGAATAAATTATATAGTGTGTTAGAAGGCAACAATTGACATGGAAAAAAAAAAAGGACAGCAAGATAAGGGCTGGGAATCAGTGTAGGTTTTAGTCCTTAGTCATTAACAGATATGGCAGACTTTCCAGGTCACTTTGTTCTGCTGCTTTCTCCACCTCCATGGTAATCCTCCCCACACGGAGGCCAGGCTCCACCCCACAGCACCGGCTGCTTATTACCGGATTGGTATCTCATCCACACGTAATCTTTCACTGGCTGGTGTCAGTGTCGGAACATCACAGCTGGGTGCAGTCTGACCTGGGCCACCGCTCCTGCTGCACCGCCACCCTTCTGTGGGCTCCTGGGCTACTCGGTTGTACCAGTTTGGGTGCATTTGCCCATGTTGCCTCCCGGGTGACTTGCTCAAGCATCTGGAATTCCTTTAGCAGATGAGCCCAGTGTCAGGACTGGGGACACAGATGGACTATGCTTGGTTTCTGTCCTTGAGATGGCCACAGCCTGGTGTGGAAAAAGGTTTTCCAGCAGTTATAGGAAGTGCTACAAGTTTATTCCTGTAACATCTCTGCGGGATAACAGGGATGGCTCCCTGAGCCCTGCTTCTCATACCCTGGAGGATGAGAACTGGGAGTTCCTCAGTCAGTCAGTGGGGTAGGGGCACTCCAGACGGAGGCTTTTACCTCAGTTACAGTCTGTGTCCCTTGAGGGCATCCTCTTCTCTTACTTTTTATTCCCCATCTGCCTAGTAGGGCATTTGCCAAGATTAGATGTTAATAAATGCTACATAAATCATTGGAAGCTCAGGGAGCAGTAAAATACGAGGCTTGACGGTCCAGACAAGGCCAGTTTTTGGAGGACTTTGGAGCTTGGGAGAGGAGTTTGCACCTTGATCCAGCCAGAGGCAAGATGAACAAGGCCAGGATGAGGGAGGACTTTTGAGGAAGACATTAATCCTCTGCCCACAAAGGGTCTGCTTCTAGTGGAGCCCAAAGGGCTTCTTCAAAAGGGGCAAGAGGTCCCAGGTGGGCCACAGGGGTGCATGCTTTGCATTGGCATCGTTCACTCTAACCTCTCTGCTGCAAGGGTAGAAATACAGTGGGTGGTACAGCCAGCTCATGAGTAGTTCAGGGACCAGAACCCATGCCTTTACATGCCACCTGCTACTGTTTGGGTCTCTACTGAGGGTAAGCAGAAGTGGGATGAAAAGAGTGGACATGGCCAACAGCAGTTTGAGGTGGAGGAAACCATTGTGTTCTAAGAGAAAATCGATTGATCTATAAGCCAGGAGCCTTGGGTTCCTTGGCCTTTGAGAACATCACAGAAATTACTGAGTGCAACTAGGATTTTGATAGTCCTTCTAGTTCTGAAAACTGGAAATTTAAAGAAGGGGCTAGGGAAAGGCCTGGGTGAGAAGCCAGGCTCTGCAGTCAGAATGCCTGTTTTCATATCCCCATTCCTTAGTATGACCTAAGGTTTGCTACCTGATTTCTGTAAGCTTCCGTTTCCGTATCTGTAAAATGGTGATAAAAGAATATTGTGAGATTACTATAAGGTATAAGTGAGATAGTGCACAATAGTGACTGAGACCAGGGTGACAAAAGAGTGAACATCCCGCAAATGGGTATCTTACAGAAAACAAAGGCTGGGTCTTGGGAGAGGACTGTTCTGCAGGGCTGATTTGGGAGTGATTGTTGTGGTGTGAAGCAGTGCAATGACTGAATGTGGATGAACATGGAGGGCAAGATAGAGGGGAGGTCAGAGCTTTGGGAGCTGGGTGGGGAGGTCAGTCCTAGGAGGCTGGAGGAAGAGGTAGAGTCAAACCAAGCCTAGGGTTCAGGATGGAAGAAACCAGAAATGTGGCAAGTCATTGAAGCCCAGGGGGAGAGCACCACAGGACACCTGTGCAGCACTGTCTAGGGCTGCAGGCTGGTGTGGAGATGGAGCAGAGGCCCTGGGCTTGGCTGGGCAGGGCTGGGAAGTCTAGGGTGGAGCTGGGATAGCCTCTCTCACCCCAGTTGGTGCCGTGTTCACGTTCGTATCTTCCAGGGGTAGATGTGATAAATGGGGCCTTGGAGTCAGTTCTGTCCTCCAGTAGCCGTGAGCAGTGGACTCCAAGCCATGTCAGCGTGGCCCCCGCTACCCTCACCATCTTGCACCAGCAGGTAAAGATGTGGCAGGCATGGCTGTGCCTTTCCATGGAAGGGAGATTGGGGTGGGGGCCAGGGGGTGGTTAGATGCCAGTGGAACAGAGGGTCATGCGGTTCTCTCCCTCCAGACGGAAGCAGTGCTCGGGGAGTGTCGCGTGCGCTTCCTCTCCTTCCTGGCTGTGGGCAGAGACATCCACACGTTTGCATTCATCATGGCTGCCGGCCCAGCCTCCTTCTGCTGCCACATGTTCTGGTGTGAGCCCAATGCTGCGAGCCTCTCTGAGGCTGTGCAGGCTGCGTGCATGGTAAGTGGTAGGGTGGCAGAGTGGTGACACCAGCTCCGTGGGTGCAGGCTGGAGAGTGACTGCCACACTTGCCTCTCTGCAGCTCCGCTACCAGAAATGTCTGGATGCCCGCTCCCAGGCCTCCACCTCCTGCCTCCCGGCACCCCCTGCCGAGTCCGTTGCCCGGCGTGTAGGGTGGACTGTCCGCAGGGGTGTTCAGTCGCTGTGGGGCTCTCTCAAGCCCAAACGGCTGGGGGCCCATACCCCCTGAAGCCCTCAGTCCTCCCTCCACTTGCTTGCATTGGGCCCCCGGGAACTCAAAGGTATGGGGCAGGGAGGAGCCCTAGAGGCCTTGCTCCCCCATCCCTAAGCTGCCCCTCCCAGGCAGCTTGGGTTCCCTGCTAAGGGGCTGGGGAGGGAGAGATCTAATCCATGCAAGGACAAGACAGTAGAATTGATAACGAAAGGATCAGGAAGCAAGGCCAGCCCCAGGCCTTCTATCCTCACATTTCAGGTGGAGCAGGAGGAACTGGTCTAGGCCAGGCCCCATCTTTATAAGTTCTGGCAGGGGCAGGAGACCAGTCCAGGCATGGGTCCCCCATCCCCTGCTCCGTGGACACCTCTCTATACTGATATCACTAATAAAGTCTGTCTACCCTGCTGAGCTGTGTACCTTCTGTGCCTGCACCATACCGTCACCCCCATTCCCTGATCCCTCAGTTGGGGTCTTGTTTCCAAGGCCCTCTTACCCCACCTGCCTCAAAAGAATAAAGTGGGACAATCACAGAAGGGTCTGGAGTCCAAGACTCTTATCTTTATTTTAACAGCCAAAATTTATTTTGGCAGCAGCACAGGATTCCTGGCTGGCTAGCACAGGCCTGGGGTGACAGCTCCTGTCTGGTCTGCCTGGGGCGTGCCAGTTTAGACCTCTGCTCCATGGCCATAAAAGAACAGCAGCCCCAGGGCAGCCTAGATACTGGCCACAGGCAGAGCAACCCCCCTACCCCTGTATCTTGCCAAACTAGCTTCAGGAAAGGAGAAGGTCCTGTTTCCCCAGTGGGCTTGGGGCCAGGGACTAGGGTCTTCCACCAGATGTTCTTACCACAGGGGTCCCCTGGGGTTTTTGCTCCTTTCCTAAGATGGGTGCTTTCCCAACTCCAGGCCCTGGGAATGTTAGCACCATGCCTGCTGCGGCTGCAGAAACCAGACAGCAGGGAGACTTGCATCCGGCACCAGGTGGCGACACAGGGCAGGGCTGTCGGAGCGGGCGGAGAGCAGGGCGCACAGAGTGGTGAGGCGGCAGGGCATGCCGCAGGGCCCTGAGGGCGGGTGGCCCTTATGGTAGAGAAACCAGAAGGTCTGGAATAGCTGTGCATCGCTCCGCATGCGGTAGACCAGGTGGTGCCAGGCAGCAGGCAGCGCGTTGGGCAGTCCGTAGGTTTCCCGAGCCCTGTAGAGGAGCTGCCAGTGTGGGGTAGCTCTGGGCTGATTCGCCTGTGTCAGGTTCAGAATGTAGGTCTCGTGGTCCAGGACCACATGAGAGCTCCCTGCGTAGTCACCGTCTATTTGGTAGACCCGGTAACCTGCCAGGACAGAGGGTCGACTAAACAGGGAAGGAGGCAAAGGCAGCACCAGGGAAGTCCCATCAGTCCTGCCTACCCATGGCCTGCCTCGGCTCCCCCTATCCCACCTCCCTCCCTCCTCACTCACCAGGGTTAAGGCTGATGTATGTGGTGGCACTGGGTGCCAGGAAGGCTACAGAGAGTGGCCGGCTCAGGGTCTCCTCATCGTAGAAGACCTCAAACTCATCCATGTGGGTGTGGCCAAAGAACTGACCAGCCACGGTGTTCTCATACCTGGCCAGAAGACACTAATTATATTAGGAAGGCTCTAGGGAATGGGAGATTTGGTGAGGTAGGTTTTCACCCTCCATCCTGTTGAAGTAAGTAGCCTCGCCACCAGTGGGGCAGGAGGGATGGGATGGTGAGATGCTCAAGGGAATTTCCCACCTTTACACTCTTCATCCCCCAACCCCCATGCTACCTGGCTACAATTCGGTAGTAATTCCAGCTCCAGCTCTTCAGGCAGTGCCCTGGGGGAATGTGGCCAATTATATGCACCTGCAGGGAGAGTTAAGGAAGGTTATCAGGGCTAGGAGGGATCCTGAATCCTGGCCAGGTCCTCATCTGGGTGGGAGTAGTGAATGTAAGGACTTCTAAGAAGGACGAGAAGAACCCCACAGGGAACACTGCTGTTGGGAGCACCAGAAAGTCAGCTTCTCTGTTCACAGGTGCTCTCGCTCCAGATGGGGGTTCTGTGTGTGTGGCCTGCTTCTCTCCCTGCCCAGCAGCACGTACTCCACCATGCTCCTGCCACTCTGCCCCACCTTGTCTCCTCGATCCTCAGCGGTCTGAAGCTCCCCCACCAGCCACTGGAGCTGTCCAGCAGGATCTGTGGAGTTGATCATGAGCCAGAAGTTCTCACGGGAACAAAAGTTCATATTAAGAGAGATGAGGCGGAGGCCAGGGCGTGGGGAAAGGGCATAGAACCCCCCAATTCTGAAACAAAGTGAACATGAGGGGTCAACACTCATTCATAATCCTGGTCCTTTATGCCTAGTTCCGCGTTAGGCACTGGGTAGAGGGCAGGGGCGTACAAGACATCATCCCTAACCTTAGGATGTTCACGTTCTAGCTGGACACCAAGCAGCTTGGATTATATAGGACCCAAATGACTGGGAATGGCTTAGAGTGTTAAGGGCTCTAGGAGTTTGGGGGAGAGATGCAAATTACCTAGAGTGGGAAGCAAAGGCCATTCAGAGGGAGGTAACCAGGGCCTGGGTAAGGTGAGAAAAGTAGAGATGGTAAAGAGGAGGGAAGGCATTTTAGAGCAGGCCCAGACCAGCATGGGGAGGTGCCAGCCCTGTGAAGGAGGGTAGCTGGACATGGGATGGAAGAGGAAGGTGGGGTCCGATCAGGGAGGGCCAGTGAGGAGAGCTGGGGACTCATGCTAGAGAAGCCACAGTTAATGCCAGAGTCCCTGCTCCCTTTTCATTTTCATCCCCCTTTCTTTTCCCTTCTTGGGTTTCCAAGTACCTGAGGGTGTGAAGGGCTTTGGCAGGCAGCCAGGGCTCCCACGCCTTGGCCATCGCCTCATAGAGCCAGCGGGAGGAGTGGTTGCCCTCGATGAAGGGCGGGGGGAAGCCGTTGACAGGCGTGCTCTCGTGGTTGCCCACGGCAGGGTACACGGGCACCGGCCCCAGGAACTTCTTCACCAGGGCTGTGATGGTGGTCAGGGCCCGCAGCTGGTCCTGACGGGACTGGTGCCAGACATTGTGAGCAGGGATGTCTCCCGTCCAGTACACCATGTCAAAGGGGCCGGCAGGGCCCAGCCCACTCAGCAGGCTCTCCAGGGTCCGCAGGGGCAGGTCACACTTGCTGTACTCGCCCCAGTAACCAGCACCTGGGCGCGAGGCGGGTGGCAGGCCAGAATCCCGGCGGCAGCACAGAGGGTTCTCACAGTCTGGGTCTGTGCCCTCCAGGTAGTCATGATCCCAGTGCAGGTCAGTGAGGAAGAGGACGCGGCTGACAGGGGCTCCTGGGGCTGGGGGGTTGGGCGGCTGGGGTGGCGGCTTTGGAACGTCCGGCAAAGAGATGTTCCAAGATTCAAAGATGTCCCAGTGCCCACAGGTGGAGCCCAGGAGCAGACCACAGGCCTCAGATGGGCTCAGCACTGAGCGTGTCCACACCTCCACCATGTCGTCCTCAAAGAGCTGGACAGCTGACTGGCACACGGCAGGCGGAGCTATCTTCAGTTGCTTGCACAGGTTGGTAGCTACAGAGCCCACCCACGCCACACTTGTCTCCCTCTGTGGTGGGAAGAACCAGTGGTAGAGGTCATAGACCAGGCCAAACCCTGACCATCACCTTTTGGACCTCTGTCTCCAAACCGGGGCTGGGCTGGACACAGTGCCACATGGCAAAGAAGCCTCAGTGCATCCCCTGCCTCCCACAGATATTTCCCCATGACTCAAAAGGCCATACCAGGTCAGTACTTCCCCTTCAGCCCAGTGCCAGGGGCATTTCAGGTCTTTGCCCAGCCAGCTTTCTCAGGCACTGTCTGAAATATGGGCTGGGCAGAATGACAGACTGTCCAGGGTTTGGGGACACACACAGGGATAGGACTGTTTCCTGGGGAGCCCCACCAAGCACACCTATCAAACAGCACTCCTCATAACCCCATTAGGATCAAGGCAGCCCCATCCAGTTCCACACCCCTGAATATAATTCAAGTCCTCAAAATTAGTTCTGAGTACCTAGTACCAGGCACTGTGCTCAGGGCTGGAGATGTCAAGGGTAAGGCACAGGGGCTTCAAAGTCAGGCCAACCAGGATGGGAGTCCCAGCACTGCCTCTCACCAGCTCTGTGCCCTTGGGCAAGCGACTTCACCTCTCCTGGATTCTACTCAGTTGTAAAATGGAAAAAACAGCTGTAATGAAACCACCTTGCAGGCTTGATTTAACCTGTGTATAAAATGGCTAGCACAATGCCCAGTATACAACAGGCAGCTTTTTGCAATTCACAAGGTCACAATGGAGGTACTGAGGTGTAGCCAGGGTGTCTCTGTATATCAAATTCGATTAAGGCTTGTAGATGTCAGCCTCTCCGTAAGGATGCTCTTCAGGACCCAGGGGCACCATCATTAGCTCGGCCCCTGACAAGTGCTCCCCTTCAGCCTGCTCCACCGCGACCCCTTTAGCACTCACCTTCAGCCCAAAGTCGATGGCGGAGAACAGAGCTTTGCAGACTGGGCAGGTTAGGTTCCCCCACCCAAAGGTGCCGCGCAGCTGGGGCACTAAGCGCTTGAACCTGCTGGCGGGATGGTCCCGGGAGGGAAGAGGGTGGGCCCCGGCTGGGGCCCAGAGAACCAGGGATTCGGGCAGGGCCAGCGCCAGCGCTAGGCCCATCCACAAGAGCCCCAGTCTGGGGGCTCCCCAGGACCTGTCAGGGCCTGGCTGCCTGCTGGACCCGGGGTGGCCCTGGCCGGGAGACACTCCGTGGTGGGACATTGCCCGGCTTCCTAGACAGGGCTGGTTTGCCCGGCCAGCCTCCGCGGTCTAGGCCCGGCAGGCCCTAAGGGCCCGGGTGGTGCCAGGCACAGCTGATGAGTCGGGTGACTCTCCGCGATTAGCTGCGATACAGCTCCGCCCCTTCCTCTTCCTCTGTTTCCCGCTGTTACCCGCCCAGCGGGCCCGACCGCTGAGGCGGGGTGGGCGGGGCGCGCCGGGACCCCGCTCCCGGTCCCCCGGAGGCCTGACCCGCGCCGCGGACCGCGCGGGCTACTGGAAGCGCGGGGCCGTCACAAGGCGCGGGCGCGGAGGGGCGGCGGCGTTGGGGTGGCTGCAGTCATCCACGCTCCTGCTGCGGAGCCGATCAAAAGGTGGAAGGCCGGTCGGAGGCTCCTAGTAGGCGCCTGCTCTCTCCAAACCTGCCCTCAGATTCCTGGAGTGGCTGGCTGCCAGGCCCACCTGCTACTCAACTCGGGAAGGGAGGCCGGGGCGAGCGCGGCGGCAGGGATTCTCACACTGAGTGTGTTTACCTCTGCCCAGGGGCGCCTCCGCTCGAGTTACCACGCTTTCCTACTGGCCAGCACCCTTGAGTCACCCTGAGAATTTGAGTCATACTACTCCGACTTCTTGACTGGCAGGGACCTTGAGATCATGTAGGGATTCTTTCATTTCATGGGTGAAGAAACAGGCTCAAAGATGCTGAAGGGACTGAGAAGGCATGCAGGCCAAACAGCAGGGAGGGTCACGGACATGGACCAGAACTTGGTGTCCTGCTATCAGGTAGAAAGATAGACATGAGCAGCCGGAGAAGGAGAAGATAAGGTTCAAGGAAAAAACTGAACCAACTGCCCAGATAGGGGGTCGCAAAGACAACAAAGGCTTTGCAGGGAGATAATTTTTTGCCTATCTGGACCAGGCTAAACCCGCCCCAACCAGCTCCCAGTGCAGGCACGATAGAACAAAACTAAGAACAGGCCAAACCGTACCTCAGCGTAATCTAACTAAAATAAAATTGCCGTTTTGCTGCCTGCCCCTCATGGGCTTTTCCGTGTGCATTTTGGGAAAAGACAAACTCTCCAAGAGGAATGGGTGTGTAACTAGGACTGTCAATCAAACGACCTCCCTCTGTCAATCAGAGAAGCACCTCCCAGCTAAGACAGGATAAATAGACCCTTCCCTACAACTTTTGGTCTTTTTTCTACCTAGAGTTTGGCCTCTCCCGCCTGTGGAGTGTATTTAGATAAAACTGTGGCTCTGCCAGCCTGCCGTTTCTCTCTTTCAATTCTTTGTTGCAGCGGGGAATGAGCTCAACCTATACGTACCTCTGTGTATCCATGATGGTAAAAGCAAACATTTATTGAGGCCCAATCGTGTGCCTGGCACTAACCGAGACACTTTTATAAGTTCCTAATCTTCAATTCTAACAACCCTAAGAAGTAAGTGTAATACCATTCTTACTTCCATTTTACAGATGGGGAAACTGAAGCGTGGGGAAGCTAAGTGGCAGAACAGTAGTTAAAAATCTAAGCTGTTCAACTCCTAGAGTGTGTCTCCGAGATCCATAGAGCTACCAAGTCCTGTCAGTTTTCTTGGAGAATTTCTTTCAAGTGACTCAGTTTTTGTCAGTTTCTGAGGACATTTTCCTCACTTCAAGGCATTGTCCCAGATAAAGTAATGGTGGTAGAGTAAGAAATATTTGATATGTGTCTTCAGTTCGGGCACAGAGCTCCTAAAACCCTTTGAATTTCCTGAGTGCTAGGATTGTCTTTTACAATTTGTACAAGCCGTTTTCAATCACATCTGAATTTATGCTAGTGGTGACTTCGAGTGGGTTCCCTAGATAGCCTCAGGAAGGGGCTGATCACTAGAATGAAAAAGGGGTTAAAGTGAGAAAGTTCAGTCCCAGTCCCCTACCTCCAGGGAATGGGGGAGGGCTGGAGGCTAACGCTCCTTAAGCTCTGAGAGCTTCTGCTTGGTGAGCAGGGTGCTGCGAGGGTGGCGTGGAAGCCCTGTGACATCCCCCTTCCATGCCTTGCCCTAAGCTTCTTCCCAGGTGGCTATACCTGTGCTGTACCCTTTATAATAAACCGGTCAACGTAAGGAAGGTGTTTTCCAAGTTCTGGGAGCTGTTTCAGCAAATCATCAAATCTGTAGAGAGGGTCATGGAACCCCAGAACTTATAGCTGGCTGGTTGGTCAGAAGCATTGGTAGTAACAACCTGGTACTTGCAACTGGCACCTGAAGTGAGGGCTTTCTTGTGGGCCTGAGCCCTTTAATTTGTGGAATCTAATGTTAGGTCCAGGTAGGTAATGCCAGAACTTAATTAAACTGGTGAACAAGCAGATGGTTTTGGAGAATTGGCTGGTATGCAGACACAAGTCCGATCACATGCCCAAGTGGGTGAGTTGTGATAGGAAAGTGCTTGAAAGACAAGGAAAGACCCAGAGGGCCATCTGAGACATGAGGGTCGATTGGGACTCACCTAGACACTTTATAGTTCCTAATCTTCAATTCTAACAACCCTAAGAAGTAAGTGTAATACTAGTCCAGGAGCAGCTGACTAGACAGGGTTGCACACTGCTATCGTGGACAGAGAAGCAACAGATTATATGAGACGAAGAGACAAAGACTAGTGCTTTGCTAGAAGAGATTATTCTCATGCAGATCAGTGTCCCAAGGAGCAAAACCTTGCTCAGAGGGGTCTGCCTCCCAAAACATGTTTCCATAGATAAGGCTGGCTTAGATTTGGCCAGCCCCAGGCCATCAGTATACCCTGTACTTAGTACAGCACCTGAAGGAAGGGCCCATGTGGACACATGGTTATTCTGCGACAGAAGGCAACAAGCAGGCCATGCTTGTCCCCATGTGTCCATGTGGCCCTATGTGTCTTACTGCACCATTCTTCCCTGAGGCCCCTCAAGCCAGACACATAAAGGACCATTGTGACCATAGACAATAGAAAGAAATATATTTCTAAGTTCAAGTCTCCACCCCTGTTTTATAGCTCTTCAGTCATGGGAAATAGGGTGATGACCTTTCTTGGCTACTTCATGCTGACAACTGGTGAAGAGAGGAGGTTAAAGAATGAAAACTGGAGACCTGCTATTGAAAATAAGCTCAGGTAACCAACAAATATAAAACAATGCCACTGGAGCTCAACAGATACATATATGCGCGCGCGCACACACACACAAAGAAAGGAAACAAAGAAAATAAACTCGCTCTCCCGAGCTTATTCTCATGAAGACTGGCGACCTTGAGATCCCTTTCCGGTTGGCATAGAAGCAGTCCCAGGGTTTGTTCTAAACCTCTTCAGTCCCACCTCTGAACCAGTCTCACTCTTTTTTGTTGTTGTTAAAGTTTCTTTAATAATCTTTTTCAAAAATCCAGGATCCAATCAAGTTCACGCACATTGCATTTTTGACCCTTGAAATTAGAACAGTCCTCTTACTTTTGAACCAGTCTCACTCTTGAGAATAGGTCAATTTAGGAAACTGACTGTGTCTCAGTTCAGGAGGCAGTCTTGTAGGTGGGCTCCCTAAATTAGGCCTGTATTGTGTAAACAATCAGGTAAATAATAAAAGGCATTTTTACAGAGAAAAAAGAAAAATGAGAGTTAACGGAGCAAATCAGAAACCCAGTATCTGCATTCCTAATGCTGACAGTGGGATGATTTCAGGCTCCAAGGATCTTCAGACAGAGTGAGTGCAATCTCACAGATTTTCTTGTTTAGCAGTTTGAATTGTTTTGTTTTTTGATTTATTTTTTAATGGAAGTATAGTTGATATACAATATTATATTGATTTCAAATATACAACACAGTAATGACAATTATCTATATTGTTAAATGCTCACCCCAGCTAGTGTAGTTGCTGTCTGTCCACATAGATGTCATAAAACTATTGACTGAGTTCTCTATGCTGTACTTTCATCCCCATGACCAGCTTATTTTATGATTGAGATTTTGCACCTCTATCCCCTTCACCTGTTTTACCCACCCATCCCTACTCCCCACCCTCCTAACCAACAGTCCTTCTCAGTGTCTGTGAGCCTACTGCTGTTTTATTTTGTTTTGTTTTGTTTTTAGATTTCACACATAAGTGAGATCATATGGTATTTGTCTTTCTCCTCTTGGCTTGTTTCACTTTAGCATAATACCTTCTAAATCCATCCATGTTGTCATAAATGATGGGATTTCTTTCTTTTTATGGCTGAATAATATTCCAATTTGTATATGTACCACTTCTTCTTTACCCATTCATCTATTCACAGACTCTTTGGTTGCTTCCATATCTTGGCTATTGTAAATAATGTGGCAATAAATAAAGGGATTCACATATCTTTTCAAATCAGAGATTTTGTTTTCTTCAGGTAAATTCCTAGAAGTAGACTTACTGAATCAAATGGTATTTCTATTTTTAGTTTTTTAAGTAACCTCCATACTGCTTTTCACAGCAGTTGTGCCAATTCACATTCCCACCAACAATGTAGGAGGGTTCCCATTTCTCCACATCCTTGCCAGCATTTGTTATTTCTTGGCTTTTGGATAGTGGCCATTCTGACTGGTATGAGGTAGTATCTCATTGTGGTTTTGATTTGAATTTCCCTGATGATTAGCATGTGGAGCATCTTTTCATGTGCCAGTTGGCCATTTCTATTTCTTTGGAAAAATGTCATTCAGGTCCTCTGCCAATTTTTTAAATGGGTTATTTTATTTTAGTGTTGAGTTGTATGAGTCCTTTATATATTTTTCATGTTAACCCCTTACTGGCTATATCATTTATGAATATATTTTTCCATACTGTAGGGTGCCTCTTTGTGTTGTTGATGGTGTCCTTTGTTGTACAGAAGATTTTTAGTTTGATGTAGTCCCCCACATGTTTATTTTTGCTTTGGTTTCCCTTGCTAAGGGAGACAAGTCCAGAAGAAAATTATTCATGCTTACATTCAGAGATTTTTGCCTATGTTTTCTTCTTAGAGTTTTATGGTTTCATATCTATATTTAGGCTTTTAATCCATTTCAAGTTTACTTTTGTGTATGGAGTTATCAGTAATCCAGTTTCATTCTTTTGCATTTAGCTTTCCAGTTTTCCCAACACCATTTATTGAAGAGACTGTCTTCCCCATTGCACAATCGTGGCCCCTTTGTCATATATGAACTGACCATATATGTGTAGGTTTATTTCTCGGCTCTCTATTCTGTTCCATTGTTCTGTGGGTCCACTATTTCCTTAAAGCTGCCTGGTCTTTTCTGAGTCTATATCTCCTTCAAATATGACATTCCAGTCAAAGCCTTGGTAATATAACCAGTATTTCCAATTGTGTCTTGTTACAGGAGTGCAGATTCTTATTGAACTTATGCAAATAAATATACTGCCATAAAATATAAAAATACTCACCAAGAGTTTCCAAATTCTTACAGGATCAGATAGGGAGGAAAAGATAAATGTTTCATTTCTGCTTAGAAAGATATAATTTACCAAA